ACCCCCTTTTAGCTGAGAGGAGATTTGAATCTGTATTACAAATATATTTTATTATTGTTGTTATTATTAATTATTATTAATAATAATTATTATATTGGAGCCTCGGTTCATGAACTCTTCAAGATTTGACCTACACGGGAGCTTAAAAATAACTTCCTGCTTGGTAGGAAACATGCTTTTACTTTTTTGTTTGTTTCTTTGTTTGTTTGTTTCTTTGTTTAAAAGAGGATTATTATTTGTAATAGATCAAAGTAGCCAGTATGGGTAAGCGAGTTACGTCTCAATTCTTTATAACTTTTCGTGTGATTTCATTTAGCTCGAAAAGAAAATATATGTGTTGCAGCTTTGAGAACTAGCAAACCAAACCTGTTAGAGACGGTCCTTAAAGAATAACTTTTTAAATAAATCCAAATTAACTAATAAACCTGCGATCGGTAGAGTTTAATTTATTTCTTATACCATATTTGCTTGTCTGTAATGGTCCATATAACTACAACTGATCGCTTCCTTCTTCTTCTTTAGCCTCTTCAAACCTATTTAAAAGGCTGAAAATATGTATTTTAGTTATAATCAATACCTTCTGAATACAATCTTTTCTGAGTCTGACGGCTCTATCCTTTTCAGCACTGAGAAAAAACTTTGATGGAGGATCCTTTTAAGTGACATATATACAGGCTATAGGGTTTCTCCTTGACTTTTTCTATACAAACAATACCTGTAATGACTCATCTCATGCTGCTGAACCATAGGTTAAGTTGTAAAGAAAACATTGGTCTTCTACGGGGATTGGAGGGGGTGGGGGGGAGTTGCAGAGAGAACCGTTCAGTGGAAGTTAGGTGGATGTTATTGTGTGGTATGGAAATATATACAAACTTTAGACAGCTCTTGTTCTGTATTATCCTAGAAAGCTTCTTCTTGAGTGGCACTTACTAGCTTAACCCATTCAGCCTTGAAATCGTCCCCCAGAGTCATAATATTAATAATTACGCAGAATGCACTTCTTTGGCTTGATTCTGTCTGTGATAGCACCTAGCTGCTGACAAGGACTTTGAAAGCCGATGCCCAGAGAAAATGGATCTGGGCTTAGCCACTGAGACAGTAGAGTGGGTTAGAATGATAATATTAGTTATTTTAAATTGTGCAGGGGAATAGAAAGTCATACCAACCTCCCTTGAGGTTGAAGGGTCAATATAAGAGTTAGCTAGGTTGTCCTGGCCCGCAACTAACTTTAGGGTAACTCTGATAAACCCTACTGTGCGTTCATTTTCAGTGTTGCAGAGACAACCTCCCTGCCTCATATAGTCCTGCTAAATGCCTTCTCTTTCCGCTGGATTCCCTTCCTAGCTGGCGCAAGAGTAAATAATCCAGCGGAACAGGGGCTACACTTCGTGTGACATTCGCCATAGAACATTTGGCGTGTAAATGGCAAAGAGAAAACTCCAATGGGTTATTCTCATTCTGAATCTGTGCCTATGGGGAAATAAGAAGCACAGGTTGCAGGCACTTCTGGTCGGTACTGACACCCTTTGCAATTTAAAATCAATTCTGTGGTGGCTTTCTCTGGGGACGGGAAGTAATCACTGGACACTTTTTAAGCAAAGGGCAGCAAAAGAGCACCCTTTCCTCCTTGGGTTTCAGATGGTCAAACTGCTCTTACCATACATATGTGTGACAGAGTGTCTAATTGGATTAGATGTACAAAGATTTCCTCAATATAGGTTAGAGACTGGTGAGTGCTTGAATCAATAGCTGTTATTAAAACCTTACAGATATCAATTCTCCTAGTCAGTTTAATGAATACAGCTTTTATATTCAAAATGTACAGGATTTACACACAGACACGTATTATATATACACTGGTTTTGTTATATACATATATATAAAGCAAATACAGTGTACTGTACATATATATGCATACTATAATCATGTATTAGATATATTATGATTTGAAGTGTAAATATTATATATTGCACATCTAAAACTGTTTTAAAGTATTTGTGTATCTATTCATATCTCTGTATGTGAGTGTATGTTTACACACACACAACTAACAAATATATGCACACTCCCCTCACCCTACCCTCCATATATACACACAGGGACAGACACGCAAGTCTGTGTGTATCTGTGTTGTTTTAGGTGATGAACACTGTTCAGTAAAGCACTGGAATTAGTTATTTAGGACTGATGAAGAAAAATTATCCAGTGTGATTACTTTATTCTTCTGCATAAGATTCCTATCTTTGGATATTCCTATCTATCTCGATTTTCTGTCGATCAACCGCACTTTATACAAATATACAGAGTATAAACCCGGAACCATGTGTGTTCTAATGAGCGAATAAGATACATGGAGTTCTGGAGAAACCTTCTAATTGCCTTCAGCTACCAAATGAGGTATCTGAATTTTTTTAAAAAAACTTTCATTGGGCGGTGGAGAATGGCAACAATGGACTATAATGATTGAAGAGGAGTTTTCTGTTATCTATAATGTTTATTTTTTTCACTAGGGTACTTTCAGTTTAATCTTTCACTATGTAATAAACTATTATCTTAGTTAATCCCAAAGGTGAATCCATCAAAACCTTTTAATAAAACCTTTATTAGTTTCAGTAATTCCGAGGGTTGTAGCTGCACCTCCAGAGCAGCAGGCAGAACTTAACTTACCTTGGTCTGCTGTAAAATATTTTAAAATAAATTTAGATGTGCAAATGTTGCCCGACTCATCCTGGCCATTAGAATTCTGCAGGCATTGTCGTTTGCAGCAGTCATTAGTCAAGCCTACAGAAGCAAAAGGAGCCGGGTAGTTGGACAAGAGAAATCTCAAGAATGATATACAGAACCAGGCCTCTAGCATCAATTCAAACCTGATAAGAAATCGGCTGCCTTATTGCAAAAAGATGGCTAAGCTCGTTCAATTGGGCCTCGGATGCGTTGAATAATTGTTCGATTCCTGGAAAGGCTAAAGTGTTTTCACACCAAAACCTGGGGACCTAGGGAAAGGGAAAGGTGAACACCTAGGGTACCAGAAATGCACCCATATGAGATTGCAACGGGGCTGTGAAGGCAACAGATTGTTTGGATTCCATCCAGAGTTTAGCAGCTGGGACTAGCTCCATGAAAAAGTGGAAGGTGGGATGAAATGACGGCAGAACAGAATGCCAGCTAATATTAATAATAACAGACTCCTAGATCCGAAAATCTTATTTTAAGCATCCATTTGGAAAAAGTTAAGAGGAACTAGATATTAGTTCAGGGATGGTGCATCAGCCAGTGCAGCATGGTAGTAAACTAACATAACATATAAGGTTGTTCATACTCCACTTCTTCGCTTGCACATGACCCAGCAACTTTGAGACTGGACCTTTTTTAAAAAAAAAGCTTTATATTTCTGTTCTCCACAGTGTTATGGGGAATTAATTTCGACAGAGACAGGTACCCAAGAAAAGCAGAGACAGATGTAAAGTACTCCCGTCTCTCCTTAACAGTCATATGTTTTATTCCTAGCCAGAGTGTCAGGGAAGCAAAAATAACGGGGGCTTTTGGTTTTTAATTGGAGAATGTCTATTAGATCATTCATTTACATCGTACCTTGACTGACTGTCTTATAAAACCAGCACAATGTGTATACACACACGCACATACACACACACACACACACACACAGAGAGAGAGAGAGAGAGAGAGAGAGAGAGAGAGAGAGAGAGAGACTGAATGCTATTTTATGGAAAGAAGTCACTTTTCACCACGCCGGAGAGAGAGAGATTGACTGAATGCTACCGTACGGAAAGAAGTTAGCCTTCAGCACGGATTATACACACACGTAGGCATAGACCATTTTAATGTGGATGTCGAAAAGGGATCTCTTTGATAATCTGTTAATTTCTCACTTAAATGTATTTAATCAGATATAGCAATAAAGAAAGCATACACAAAGTCTTACTCTGCCTATATGCCTCCTGAGCATGTATCTAACCTTTTAGCTCTCAGAGTTCCAAGGAAAGCTGGTGTGTGTGTGTGTGTATGTTTCTATTTTTATTACTGCGAAGCCTAGTTAGATCACAAATCTTAGTCATTTTTGTAAAGTATTATTTTCTCCTACTGGATATTATGCATCACAGCCACAAAAGTACACAATATGGAACAGAAGGAAAAGGGGAGGAAAAAACAACAATCAACCTCTAGCTTGTCTTTAATTATATAAACCTATCAACCTAGTGGAATATTCAATACAAACTATAATAAAATAATAATAATAAATAGCTGTCCTCCCCCATAGGAGACGCTCAGTTGACCTCTCTTTGGGCTATGTTTAAGCAAAATACGTTCAATATTTTTAGGTCAAATATAGTTAACAAGGGGACGGAGGTCTGAAGACCTTTTTTAGGAAGCTACTTGGTGCATTGATCTCCAGTACCAATGGGTCTTTAGATCTTATTAATTGCCTTAGCAGAAAATCAGCTACAAATATTTCCACTGTGTCTTCCCTCAGATTAGGCTGGGACTCCAGGCAAAAGATACAACTATTTTTGTTTTGTTTTGTTTTTAACGATAACAGTGCAGAGCACTATTGGGCATAATAGACAATTTCCAGACCATAGCACGAGATTATTTAAAAAAAAATCTTTTCGGAGGTACCTTTGAGAATGTAAGTAAAAGCAGATCTGTGGAATTTACAACCTTAAGGACACAGACCCCCTCACTTCCTGTGATTAGCGACAGATCAAAACGGACACCTACCTTCGTTTACAACCCCCGCCCCTCCCTTCCTCACAGGAAAAAACCTCCTGTAATAAAAGTCTAGTCAGCCATCCCTTTTGTGAAAGATAAAACAAAATATATGCAATCACGGTTTGTGAGTCTAAAAAACAAGGACATTGATTTTGTTTTTGTTTTAAAGAAAGAAAGAAAGAAAGAAAGAAAGAAAGAAAGAAAGAAAGAAAGAAAGAAAGAAAGAAAGAAAGAAAGAAAGAAAGAAAGAAAGAAAAAGAATTACTTACTGCTGTTTCTCTCCATTTTGTCATGGCCAAACCTACAGAAAAGAAAGTTTCATTTTTTTAAAGAAAGAAAAATACATACACGCTATGCCCTACAGGATCATCCATAAACTCTAGCTATGTGCACTTTCAAGTTGACTCCAGTTCCTTGTAGATTACACTCCAGTGCATGTTACCTAAACTCAAGCAAACTCTAATCCTGCCGCGGACAGAAATAAATAGAAAGGTCAACAGTAGCAGCTCTCTCTTCCCATGTGATTATTTTGTTGCTGAGACATGAATTAGAGAAATCTGTTGAGTGCCAAGAAATGATTATATATATATAATGTCTATATAGATATATCTACTAAGGAAGAGGAGAAAATGAATAAGATACAGAATAAAGACTCTAAGGGGGGTGGGGGATGGGGAATAACATTTCTTCATGTACATCCAACTATCTTGTTGCCTCAAATCCTCTCGCCTTTTGGTTTGGCTAGGAAAACAAATATGGAATTTAAAAAATAATAACCAACAATCTTGATCAGCGGAACAATGAAGCGAAAGTGGGAGGGGGATTCGCACTGGGAAAGGCTTCCTCCTTCTAAATGAAGAAGTGATATGGTGAACGGTTAGGCATCTCCAATTCGTGTAGGGGTAATAAGGGAAACTACATTCATATCTGCCAGGAAAAAGGGAAATCGCAAGTTTAAGAAAAAATCGATAACTCGGAATTCAACTCTTGACCGGGAAAACCCAGATCAAAACATCATTTGACAGGAATGCTCTCTCAGAATCAGATATTAAATCAATAAAATCAATCCATCAGTACAATCTGCATAGGCAGAAGATCTCTGCACCGTGGCTCTTAAAAGAGAGAGGAAAAGGGGGAGATGATGTTTAAAAACCACTGGGAGAATAACCGAGACCAGCGAACTGAAACAAAGTGAATCTCACCCTTGGAGTGTACCTTATTTTAGCTGGATATTTTGATTTCTTCATTCCACCTCTAGCTAGCCAATTTTTCTGGATTCAGCACTACACTAAACTTATGTTCGAAGGCATTATAGTTCCGCTCACATGGGTAATTAATATGCGCAATGGTTTTCTTGTAAAGAGGAATGTTTAATATTAACCTTTTAAAAAAAACTTTTAATTCTTACGGTACGAAGGTGGCAAATAAAATTTTGAATATGGCTATTTTATTGATCCTGAAACGGAAACAGTTTTCAAAAAATGTTATGTAAGCTAAAAACCAAAGCAGCCAAATCTGCTGAGGAAATGACAATAATTTACCAGCTACAACACTGACTTTTTAAAAATTAATCATGAAACCTATAACTGAAGGAAGAGTTAGACAATGAAAGACCCTCTTGAAAGAATATATCTACATTTCAAGTCACACCAAAACTTTCTTCCTGTGTCAGACATGCAGGGTCTTAAGTCTCATAGTACCCATAACAAAGCTCAGAGCATTCTAGACTGTGCTCAATACAAATATTTACTTTTGATACCCTTGGCAATACTCGGCAACGTGCTTTTAGATGCCTTGAAGGGTTATTTTTCATTATGGGTGTGGAACTGAAACTAAAGCACTTTCGATTCTTTATTGAAAGGAGGACAATGGAAAATATTATTTCCTTAAATTTGCCTTGCAAAGGATTGCTTGGAAATAATCAGATCCTGTCCCTAATGTAAAACCTCCGTACTCTGTCTTCCCTTTGCCATCCTATTTAGAAGGCACATCAAATATGGTGGCTGTAAAGGACCAAATAAATGTTTACTTTTGGAATATGGCATCTCTTTGGCAACTGCCCACTGCAAACCTTTCCGTATACAATCTTCTGAGGGTGACTAAGAAAGTTATAACCCTACCTTTTAAAAAAAAAGTGGAATGAGGTTCTCGCATTTGCAAGTCTTGTTCAAGGCGAGCACAGATGTTGGTTGTTTCTTACAATAGATAATAAAATATCCCCACTGTTATAATAGGATGTAACCCAATTACATTGACTCGCAGTGGCTGCAATTTTGGAGTTGCTAACTCATGGTTTTCTGCCGTCTTGGTTATTGTTATTGTATTTAGTTTGTTCATCTTTAACAAAAATGTTCCCAGTACGAAATGTAGGATTTTAAGGTACTAAAATGCCAGGAAGCGCTGTTATTTTAAAGTAGTATCCCCTCCTTTCCCAAAACAGGTAGTTTAAAATGCGACGTGTAAATATCTTGCAGGTAAAGTAATTTCAGCGAAGTAGGGTTTCGCTCAATTTTAATTCCAAATTAAGCAGAATGCCTCTGAATCTCAAATATCCCAACTGACAACACACAAAGATGAATACAGTTGAGCACTGTGATTTATCCTCTATCTGTGGCAGAACTTGGACTGTATTTATGTTCCAAGAAAATAAACTCTCCCACAACGGTGCAACCTTAGGTAAAATATCAAGCTCATGCTAATGTTGTATCACCTTTTCGGAGGAGAAGGGGAGATGACTGATATAGTGACAAACTTGCCTGAATGTCACATTTGCTTCTGCTAATCAAAAGATGTTTAATTCTTTTTTGTTTGTTTTTTAATATATCTTAGGGTGTGTGCAAACCCCTTTGCTTGACTGGCGAACAGTAATCACGTGACTTCACTTTGCGCATGCCTGCTGGGATCCTTGGGATATTTTGGGTGCCATGAAAGTACACAAATCTTCCAGGCTAACTTTCCATCTTCTCGTGGTGAAATGTTAGCCAACCACATATACATTAAGAAAAAATAATAATACAGCGAAGAGTCATAGGGATGGAAACACAAACAGCGCATTTATCATAACATTTCAGAAATATTTAGCTCTGGAGAAACCTAAATTAAAAGTTGACGATTTCAGATGGCAAGAACTTCCCCATTGGAGAAGATGAAATGAACTAGCAACTCTTGGGCCTGATCAATCTTGTTCTTGAAGCACAAACAAATAATGGGCTTTATGAATAGGATTTCCAGGTGAAAACCAATTGAATCAGTTTATTTGTGTGAGAGAGGTTTTTCCTTCCCTGAAACTCAGAGTTAGGGAAGAGACAGAGCACCAAGAAATCCAGAGCACTTGTTCTTTTCAATCACGACTAAAATGGCTGTTTTTCAAAAGTGCCACTTCTCCTTATGAAGAAACTTCTTAATTCATTGGACCCTTGGATTCTTCGTTCATAAGAGAAATGTGATTTGCGATACAAAACGCCAAAGCTTCTGTCCAGGCACGGAGTTATGGCTGTGTGTGTCCCCTGGCAAAGTAGAGGATTGGTCACACTACATATTAAAATAATCTTTATCTATGGAGAAATTGGGGAATGTTTTTATATGCATCTCCATCTTCACGAAGCCTGAGTTCGTTTAAGCCTTAACTCTCCAGTCTATCCACTCGAGCACCCCCATTGTTATATTGTTATTAAACCTGGAACAAGTTGTAGGTCAGGCAAGAAAAAGGAAAAACAACCCTCTGGAAACCCACGTGCGGGCTGGAGCCTAGATTTGCATTGAAGCCACCTGCCGATGAAACAGCTCCGCACCTTCCAGATTCACTCAGCGCTTTGCAGCATGGAACCCACCGGCCTCGCCCCAGAAAACCTAGAACTATGAGCTACCGCGCCTAGTGACTACTAGCCTTGCAGCGAGGCCGCCTTTTGCTTCGCAAAGGGCATGAAGGCTCGGGAAGCAGTTGCGATTTATTTCTGCTAACAGGGCATCCCTTTTCTTGTCTCTCCCCCCCCCCACCTCCCCGCCTCTCCCCCCCAGGCTTTCCAGGCTGCTACTCCTCTGCGCCGAGCCTTAAAACAGTGCCACACCAATCCGATGCTGCCACTCCCGGTTCAATGTGAACAGCAGAAGTGATCTCAATCTACTGGTTTGTTTGGAGAGGAAGAAATTAAGGAGTGGGTGGGCAAAAAATGTCTTTGTCCTGGGTCCTCCCCCTGCCCCATTCCACTTAGAATCTTCCTAGTCGTCACAACTGCTCAAGTTTTGTGGCAAAGAGCAGAGGCCAAACCCAGCTCACCTTCTTCCTCGGAAGAGCGATCTCGCACCAGAAGGAACTCATGGCACCATTAAGGGGCCCAAGAACTCACCCAATATTACACAGAAGAGGGGGAGGGGCAGATGTATACACATATGGCTGGGCGTGCAGGCTGGACACGTAGCTCCTTAGGGAAAAGAGCCATAAGGGAAACACTGTGGAGCTGCTGGCTTCGGAGACCTTTTGGAAAATCTGGCCCCAAATGTGGGTGCAGGGCTCTTGAAAGTTTGGCCCATAATGGAGAATTTGGTCAAATCATTTTATTAATAATAATAATAATAATTAATAAATAATAAAATCCCAGAAGGTTGAAAACAGAGATCAGTCCCAAGTTGTAACTATCCAGAAGTCAATGAAGTTACACGCAGCGTGAATTAGGCCCGATGTTGCTTCTATATTTAATAAGCATGTATCGATCTCTATATATACACCACATCACTGTGTATATCTCTTGTATGACACTTTATATTCTGGATACACATGAAGGGTGTACTTTATGGGTGTATGTATGTTCATAGTATCTACTTATACACAAACTTAAATATTCTACACCCAGGGGTCTTTGTTCAGGCAAAATTAGCATATACTTCAATGGGAACTTCCCCTAACTAAAGGACTACAGTTGGTTTATTTTAGCACACACCTGGCCCCATTCAAGCCAAAGGAATTTTTCCAGTGGGGTCAGGATTTCACCTATGCCTATACAAAGAATCACCTATCTGAAGGAGTGTCTACAGCGTGTAGAAATAGCCAGACCATGTCGAATTCTGCTCTGGCCCTCCACACTGCAAATCTGGAATGATTCATCATTTACTCTGGTGTGAAGGGGAACAGAATCTGGATCCATGATGAGCGTGTTAAATTAACTGAGCACCTTACTGAGGGACTCAGCAAGTGTTGCTGTTTATTGAAACTGGCTGAATCTTTATCCCAACATAAATAACTAGGTAACAAGGAGTATTTAGGCCTGAATCTCCTGGAAGTTGTCGCTGAGTTGTAGAGGTGGG